CGCTTCATCTTGTAGCGATGGTTCTGGAACCAGATCTTGACCTGCGTGGGCGTCAGGTGGATCATGCTGGCCAGGTGCTCGCGCTCGGGCGCCGACAGGTACTTCTGTTGCTTGAAGCGTCGCTCGAGCTCGTACACCTGCGCCTGGGAGAAGAGCACCCGGCGCTTCCGGCGGGGCGCACTAGGCAGCGGGGCCATGTTCTTGCTCACGTCCCCCAGCGAGCCCAGGCCGCCCATGCCGCTCATATTCATGCCGCTCGCCGGGCCCATGAAGCGGGAGACTGTAAGCGACAAACGCACAGCGTCGGCTGGGGCCGGGGCCGGGCCAACCCTGCTTTCCTGGCCCTTGGCCCGTCGGCCCCAACCTTCGACGGCATCCTCCTCACCTAGGCCGCCCAGCGCTCCTTCCCGAGGGAGGCCCAGCTAGCTGGGGAGTGGCTAGTGCCTTCCCCGGGCCGTGCCGTCGAGGCGCTTGGGGTTTCAAGCCTAGCTACCCTTCATCGGTGTCAGCGTCTCTTTAGAATCAGAATGTACAGTAGGGGAAAACAGGGCGCTTCTGTTCGTTTCGTGCCCAAGCCGGGTGGGAAGCCCGGGGTGGGGGTGGGGGGTGCAGAGAGCTAGGTCGTACGGTAGACCCCCAACTGCAGAGAGTTAGCAAAAGGGACTTGTCACTTTCGAAAAGCCCCAGCTTCCAGGCTCTCGGCCTCTTGCCTTCTCTTTCGCGGGCTCGAGGTGAGGACACCTGCTCGGCCCATTTAGAGCCTCCTCCAGAGCCATGCGCCCTTCCAACCCGCCCAGAGACTTCTAGAAAGCTAGGCAGCCCGGCTGGGCGCTGGGATGCGTCCCAGCAGGGCGGCCTCTCTCCTGGCCAGGCCTGGCTTCCTCCAGCTCGGCTGGCCCGAGAGCCCTCAGCTCAGGGTGGGCCTCCCTAGGCACCCTGAAAGTCTTTCGCGCCAAGCCAACAGTTGGCGCCTGCGGTTGCTGGGTGCCAGCACCTGTCTGCCGGACCCCATCTCTACCAAGTGCCTCTTTTGAACCCCTAGCCCAGCGTGGGGGGAAGAAGGTCCAGCGCCCGCACCCCACACCTAGACGATGCTGCCCGGCTGCCCACCCCAACGCCTAGCATAACCGGCCAGCGCCGCGCCTCCGGTGCTCAGCCCGCGGCCCCGCGGCGGGGCGGCCTCACTTACTGGCGGGGAAGCGCGGGTCTGGGTTGGCGCCGTACCATCCGGGGCCCGAAGCGCTGTTCCGCATGGTGTCCTGGTAAGGCGGCAGCTCGCTCATGTTGCCCAGGTTGCCGTTGCAGTAGCCCCCCACGGCGGAGTGCGAAAGCTGGGGCACCCCCGCCGCCGTCATGTGGTAGGCGGCGGTGACGGCGCCGTGGTGCCCCACGGCGTGCTGTTGCATGGCCGCGGCCGGCGGGGCCGCCTGGCCCTGTCTGTACGCTGCTAGCGGAGCCCCGAGGCCGCCGCCCTCCATGCCCACTTTCTTGTAGCTTTCCTCCAGGGGACTCAAGATGTCAGACACTGAGAACGGAGTCGTGTGCTTTGGACTCATCGACATGATTCGGCGTCGGCTGGAGGAGGAAGGAAGAGGAGGAAAAAAAAAGGGAGAGGGGGGAAGGCGAAGCCTCGCTACTTTTTTTTTTTCTCCCTTTGCCAAATATTCTGGTGTTACCTTAACGCCGATCTTGTTGGATGTACACGTAACGGAGTGGACCGAGTCCGCCTTAATTGGCTTGAGTGGAGGCTCGGGGGCTGCCTCGCGTTTGTTTTAGCCCGGCGCCAGGTTTTAGGCAGCCACCAGAGGCGGGGCATAAGCGCTAAAGCAACAAGACAATAGAAGCCTACATCTTGCCCGAGATAATTAGCTTACATGCTGATGACAAGGTAAACACCTTTAAGCTTCACTTGTCAGGATTTTTACGTCTCAAAGAGAGAAAGGAGAGAGAGAGAGAGAGAGAGAGAGAGAGAGAGAGAGAGAGAGAGAGAGACCCAAAGCATTACTTCCCCCCTCCCTTGGACACCCCCACCCCCATTTTTGTGGGGTGCCTGTGGCGCACGAGGAAAAGGCGGGGGAGGGAAAGGAGGAGGGAGCCGAGAGCGGGAGGGCCAGAGGTGGGGTAGAGAGTAACCTAAGGAGAGGGATGGAAAAGGAGGAAGGAAGGTGAATGCTGCTTTGCAACCAACTTGGGGAGTTACCAAGTGGAACCGCGGTCGGATTCGGTCGGGGGTTCCGGGGTCGGGGGCTGGTCTTTGGGGAGAGGGAGCTGAGGTACAGGGAGCGGGGTTTCACCTGAGCCTGCCGGGGCTGCTCCTCCCTCCCGCTGCGGCCTCCCAGCCCCGCGCCTTCCCACCGCCTCCGGACCACATCGGGCTTCGCGGCGGGCGCTGAGCCCCAGTCACCACCAAAAGAGTGTGCGAGTCTGGGGGGGTGGGGGGATGAACCCTGGGGCTGCACTGTTGGTCTGTGTGTCTGTCAGTCTGTCTGCCTCTTCTGCCGCCGCCAGAGGGACACCTCTGCTCCCCGCCCCCTTTCCCCTTCCCCGAGAGAATCCCAGCGGGCGGAGGGGGAGCTGAGTAAGGGAACGACTGCCTCCGGGAGGCTGTCACCGATCCCCGCGCCACCCCACCCCCCCAAGCTCCTGGCTCCCTAGCGGACCAGCCCCCCAGCCCACCCCACCCCACCGTTCCCTTTCTCCACCCCCTCTGCCGGCCCAGGCAAGAACACCGGCCGGCCTTCTGTGCTAGGAGGACAAGGGTGCGGGGATTAGCGTTGAGAGTCCACCACTGAAGCTGTCCCATCTCCAACAAACCTGGTGCCCCTGACCCTTGCCCATGGCCTGGATGATGCTCCGGCTTCTGAAGCTGGCGCTGACTTTCCGAGGACATCACAGTCCCAGTACCCCAGCCCCGATCCCCGCTGCTTTCCCTGCGGGTGCTTCAGGGAGAGCCGGGCCAGGGAGCCGCGTGAGCGCCCGCGGGTCCGTTGCCGAGTGGAACTGAGTCTGAACCACCCCGGTGGAACTCGCTGTCCGGGAGGAGGCGAATATCTCGACGGCCGCAACCCAGCGGGCGGGAGGCTGGGCTGAGGCTCGCCTCCTCCCGGAGCTCGGCCATGCAAAAGTGCACTCGCTTCCCCGGGAATAACCAAATATCTTTGTCTAAAGTGGCGGCGTAAATGGCCGGTCGCTTTGTGGCCACGCTGGATATTAGTAGATGAGGATCACTCTGCTTCAATTGGGCGCCTCTCATCCGGCTAGGAAGAAACTGCTTAGGAGGAAGTGGGTTTCCTGTCTGAGCGTTCCCAGGCTTCAAGTGTGAGCCCCGCGCCTTGAGGGTCCTTGGGCGCCTGGCAAGGGGGAGCTGTGGGCTGTGCTGCCTAGCGGAGCCGGGGGCGTCAGCCTCATGGCTGTTACCAGGCCGGGATCAAGCAGCTGAGTGGGCTACCCAGCCAAGCCCTGCATGACACGGATTTGGAAACCACCTCCGATTTTCTCCTTGGAAATTAAGCGTTTTCGTTGTTGTTTGTTTTTGTTTTTGCTTTGCTGGTCTGCGGTTTGAGATTCCTTGGCGCGCTAGAGGCTTGGGAGGGCGGAGCGCTTCCTGGCCCGGCAGGTGCCTCCTAGACACTTCGGCGGCCAGTCAAGGAGGCTTCTTGATTTTGGTTTTTGTTTTCACGTTTTCTTTCCCCTCCTTGTAGTGAGGGAGCTCCCGATAATGAACAAGCAGTTTTGAACTACTTAATTCAGCGTAGGCTCCTTTCCATTAATAGCAATTATAGTATGGAAAGTTGTTTTATTTGCTTTTTAAGATCTCAACCCTCTCCTTGAAGAGTGCTCTCTACTCCCTCAACACAAAGCCAACGACTCTACTAACATTAGCTTTCCTTGCCACCTACCTCCGTCGTGAAGGCGCTGAGCACCCGCGGGCCTCCGATCTGGGCCTGCATTTTCCTGCGGGGGCCCCCACGGTGGCTTTGGAGCAGGCAGCCCTGACTTTAAGCGGGCAGGTGCTCTGTGTCTTGTGTAGCTAAACACAAGTGGAAAGCAGAGCGCTCTCCTTTCTCAGGGACTTCTCTGGGGGGCGCTCTCAAGATGAGCTCAGACCCCATCCACAGCTCTTTGGTCTAAGGTGTCTACAGTGCAGGGAGGGGAAGCCGCGGCCGGATCAAGTGAGCCTCGGGAAGAGCAGGCAGAGGCGAAGGCAGACCTGGTCTGAAGGCATGACCCAGACCTGCCAGTGTTAGGAAAGGGGACCTCGTAGGAAGAAATGGGTCGTCCGTCTCCCTTTATCTCCGATATTTTGTAATTGTTGGTAGTCATAAGAAACAGCAGGTGTAGTGTCGCCCGTCTCCCTACGTTCCAATGCCACTTACAGAAGCTCATTCTCAGAAGGGCTTTTGGGAGAGTTAGGCAAAACCAGGCTCATCAAAAACACGGCCAAAGCTTTGAGGGGCAAAAAAAAATTAAGCTCACCGCCAACGTCGATATTTCAGTTTCTGTAGGTATTATCAAATCTCTTGCCTCTTTAGGGGCCTGCCAGATTGGAGTGAAAGGTTTGTTCTGTTCTCCACGGCTTCTAATTCACACAGCCTGGGCCTTCAGTAACACCAGCAGGTGGCCAGTGTGAACAAGCATGATTTTTATCTCTACTGTAACTGGTGACCCCATTCCCAATATACAGCTCGAGGTGAGGGTACTGAGCTCCAGTTGGGGCTGGAGGGGTGAAGATGTCTGGCAACCTCTCAGGCTTTACCCCTGGGGGGGGGAGGGCAACTGGCTTGAGCTCCAGCCTTCTCACAGGCTTGCATCAGCATCACCAGCTCCTAGTTAGCCCTGGGGTGGGGGTGTCTCTGCAGCATCCTGTGGCCCAAACTGCACGTTCCTGCCCCTTCGCAAACACCCACCACTCTGCGTTATTTTCCATAAGCTTATTTTCCATAAGCACTGCCGCCCGATAAGAGTAAAACTGAATACACAAGAGCCTCGTGGAAAAAAGCCCCGTGTATTTATTTCTGAGCTCTTCCATGCAAAGGCCTTGGGAGTCTCTCCCCAGGTCCCAACATTTCTTTCTGACTAAAAAGCATGCTGCCTCTCTGTTTCAACTTGAATAGGGCCCACGCGGGTTAAATCAGAGATTATTTTTCTCTCCTGTAGCCGCGGATTAGCATTCGCAAATCCAGTCCACTCTCAGGGCTGCGGGTCCTCCTTGGCCTGCAACTGACTTGCCCTCGGTGGACTGAGCCCAGTGACCCTTAGGACATAGCCCAGCCCTCACGAAGCTTTCCCTGGTTCAGCCCCAAGGGGCCACTTTAATCTCACTGGTTAGAAATGAAAGAGCAGCGGAGGCTTGAGCCCAGGCCCAGCCCTAAACGAGCAGGAGAGCCACAGTCTACGCAGCACGGGGTGGCAGACTTTGAAAGACCGGAGTGCTCACTGGGGAAAGCTATGTAAAATTCCCAATTCCTGGAGCTTGGCAAGGTAGGATATTAGGGAGAGGATTCCCAAACCAGAACCGTTGACATCTACCCTTCAGTTTGCTTGTTTCTAGCTCTCAGGAATCCCTTTGCATCTCCCTCAGGCACTAAGTGTGTTCCTTTTAATGTTACACAGTTCCAAGTCTTATTGCAACTCATGATTCATTTAACAGCTACTCATTGAGCTCCTGCTGTATTGGATACTGGGTGGGCTAGGTCTGAATATTCAGCCTCCCATGGTCTAGATACAGCTCTTTCCCCAGGCACATCCATATTAGCACTAACTCATTCCAGGAATGTACAGTCACTTTGTAACAAACGCTGAGAAGGAGGGGGTCCCAGTGAAGTTCTGTGTTCCAGTTTAGTTAGCGTTTTCCTCATCTTTCAGTGCTATCAGGTGGGTCAGAAGGAGCCCTTGAGGACAGCTCAGAAGCCTTGGGGTTGGAGACCTGGCCCTACCACTCCCCCCTCCATCTCAGGTCCCACCACGCCCTGGAGCAAATCCCTTCACACACACACACACACACACACACACACACACACACACACACACACACAGAGAGAGAGAGAGAGAGAGAGAGAGAGAGAGAGAGAGAGAGAGCAGAAGCCTGCCTCATATAACTTTCTACTTTGCTGTGTCAGCAACTTAGATAATCCATGATGAGATGCTGAGACAGAGTTTGACCATCTTTAAAGTCCTTAAGCACACGGGGATTATTTTGATTTAGTAGTTTGAACTTAAAGGAATTTGGGGATAAGACTCTTGGGGACTAAGCCTCTGATGCTGTGTAAGAAGACACAACATCTAATATTCCGATGCCCACCTCAAGTGTAGGTAGGATCTCTGCTGTGCTGTGCTGAGCTGACCTGGGCTCAAGAGGACTTGAAGGGCCTGGGGAGATGTCTTAGAGATTAAGAGCACTTGCAGAGGACCTGGGTTCTGTTGCCAGCACTCACATTATGGCTCATAACCTTCTATAATTCTAGTTCCAAGGGATCTGATGTCTTTTTCCGGCCTCTGCGGGCAGCAGGTATGCACTTAGTGCACATATATACACACATGATTTTTTTTTTTTTTTAAGAGTTCGGTGGAGGCATCCGGGCCCAGGAACAACAAAGGTAGAGGTAGGGGGTTACTGAGATCCAAGGTTCTCCTCCCAAACATGACGTCTGTCATCTGGTCTCTGAAAAGTGAACCAGGATCTATCCTCTCGCCTACGCGTTCTAGTCTTGAAAGCTTCGTTGGGGTCCTCACTAGGCAAGGTGATCATCAGGACAGCTTTGGGGTATTCCAAAGAAAAGATGCCGCCACTGCTCAGCTTGACTTTCTAGAACCTTTGAGAGAATTTTCTTAAGCCGTGGTTTATGGGGATAGAGTGCGGGAGGTGCTGCACGCCCCTCTCTGCTATGGGAAGGAAGATGCTCTTGTGAAGACTAGATTCTGCTAGAGGAGCCCCCCAGCCTTGGATGAGGGAAGGGCCGGCTCCTCTTTCTCTTACCTGGGGCCGAACCCTCTTAAGGGGTTATAGTCTTGAAATCTTAGCCCCAAGTTGTAACCAAAACCCTTGCTCTCTCTCCAAAATTCCAGGGACGCCCCCTGGCGGGATCCGGTTTGAAGAAGCAGGGGTCAGTTACAAAGCATAGAGAGATGGGAACCAAGCGCTAAATCGTCCTTTGAAAAGAGGGGAAACAGGATGTGGCAGACAGGTTACTCACGTGATGCAACAAGCCCACAGCTCCAGGCACACACTGAGCTTGCTAGAGCTGGCCTCGTCTTTTTACTCAGTTTCTTCTCCAAAAGAGTGAACAGT